GGATGGGATACAGGGATGGGATACAGGGATGGGATGGGATGGGACTCCCCCCCCGGCCTTCCCTGTACCCCCATCCCCATGCCAGGCCCTGGAATGTGTCCCCCTCAACGAGTCAGTCTGTACCTCTGGAACACCCCAGATCCCTGGGATGGGCAGGAACACCCCAAATGGGCTGGAACACCCCAGATCCCTGGGATGAGCTGGAACACCCCAAATCCCTGGGATGGGCTGGAACACCCCAGATCCCTGGGATGGGCAGGGACACCCCAGATCCCTGGGATGGGCTGGAACACCCCAGGATGGGCTGGGACACCCCAGGATGGGCTGGGACACCCCAGATCCCTGGGATGGGCTGGAACACCCCAGATCCCTGGGATGGGCAGGAACACCCCAAATCCCTGGGATGGGCAGGGCCACCCCAGATCCCTGGGATGGGCTAGAACACCCCAGATCCCTGGGATAAGCAGGAACACCCCAGATCCCTGGGATGGGCTAGGAACACCCCAGATCCCTGGGATAAGCAGGAACACCCCAGATCCCTGGGATGGGCAGGAACACCCCAGATCCCTGGGATGGGCAGGAACACCCCAGATCCCTGGGCTGGAGCCCAGGATGGCTAGTCTTCACACCCACGATGGGCAGGGTCACCCCAGACTCCCTGGGATGGGCTGGGACACCCTACGGATCCCTGGTAGCAGGAACACCCCAGACTCCTGGATGGGCAGGAACACCCGAGACCCCTGGGATGGGCAGGAACACCCCCAGATCCCTGGGATGGGACAGGAACACCCCAGATCCTGGGATGGCAGGAACACCTCAGATCTCTGGGATGGGCATTGGACACCCCAGATCCCTGGGATGGGCTGGAACACCCCAGATCCCTGGGATGGGCAGGAACCCCCCAGATCCCTGGGATGGGCAGGAACCCCCCAGATCCCTGGGATGGGCTGGAACACCCCAGATCCCTGGGATGGGCTGGAACACCCCAGATCCCTGGGATGGGCAGGGACACCCCAAATCCCTGGAATGGGCAGGAACACCCCAGGATGGGCTGGAACACCCCAGGATGGGCTGGGACACCCCAGGATGGGCAGGAACACCCCAGATCCCTGGGATAAGCAGGGACACCCCAGATCCCTGGGATGGGCAGGAACACTCCAGATCCCTGGGATGGGCAGGAACACTCCAGATCCCTGGGATGGGCAGGGACACCCCAGATCCCCGGGATGGGCTGGAACACCCCAGGATGGGCTGGAACACCCCAGATCCCTGGGATGGGCTGGGACACCCCAGATCCTTGGGATAAGCAGGGACACCCCAGATCCCTGGGATGGGCAGGAACACCCCAGATCCCTGGGATGGGCAGGAACACCCCAGGATGGCCAGGAACACCCCAGGATGGGCAGGAACACCCCAGATCCCTGGGATGGGCAGGAACACCCCAGATCCCTGGGATGGGCTGGAACACCCCAGATCCCCGGGATGGGCAGGAACACCCCAGATCCCTGGGATGGGCAGGAACACCCCAGATCCCTGGGATGGGCAGGAACACCCCAGGATGGGCAGGAACACCCCAGATCCCTGGGATGGGCTGGAACACCCCAGATCCCTGGGATGGGCTGGGACACCCCAGATCCCTGGGATGGGCAGGAACACCCCAGGATGGGCAGGAACACCCCAGATCCCTGGGATGGGCTGGAACACCCCAGATCCCTGGGATGGGCTGGGACACCCCAGATCCCTGGGATAAGCAGGGACACCCCAGATCCCTGGAGGGACAGGAACACCCCAGATCCCTGGGATAAGCAGGGACACCCCAGATCCCTGGGATGGGCTGGGACACCCCAGATCCCTGGGATGGGCAGGAACACCCCAGGATGGGCAGGGACACCCCAGATCCCTGGGATGGGCTGGGACACCCCAAATGGGCAGGAACACCCCAGCTCCCAGGCTGGGCTGGGCAGGACCCCCCGTGCCCCCCAAATCACCCATGCCAGGTACACGGCCGCCTGTTCCCGCCTGCTGGTGCAGTTCAAGGCGGCGCTGAAGCAGGTCCAGGGCTCCGAGATCAGCTCCATCGACGACTTCTGCCGCAAGTTCAGGGTGAGCCCCCCCCCCAGAGCCCCCGGAATTCCGGGCCCGGAGGCCTCCGTGTCCCATGGGTGTCCCTCCCGCAGCTGGACTGCCCCCTGGCCATGGAGAGGATCAAGGAGGACAGACCCATCACCATCAAGGACGACAAGGGCAACCTCAACCGCTGCATCGCCGACATCGTCTCCGTACGGCCTGGGGGGATCCGGGGGGTGGGGGGTGATCCCAGCCAGCCCCTTCCCACAGCTCTGCACTGGGAATCACAGGGGTGGGGGGTGATCCCAGCCAGCCCCTTCCCACAGCTCTTCACTGGGAATCATGGTGGGGGTTGGGGGGTGATCCCAGTGATCCCGGTGATCCCAGCCAGTCCCTTCCCACAGCTCTTCACTGGGAATCACGGTGGGGGTGGGTGGGGGATGATCCCAGTGATCCCAGCCAGCCCCTTCCCACAGCTCTGCACTGGGAATCACAGCAGGGTGGGGGGTGATCCCAGTGATCCCAACCAGCCCCTTCCTACAGCTCTTCACTGGGAATCACGGTGGGGGTGGGGGGTGATTCCGGTGATCCCAGTCAGCCCCTTCCCACAGCTCTTCACTGGGAATCACAGCAGGGTGGGGGGTGATCCCGGTGATCCCAGCCAGGCTCTTCCCACAGCTCTGCACTGGGAATCATGGTGGGGGTGGGGGGTGATCCCAACCAGCCCCTTCCCACAGCTCTTCACTGGGAATCACGGGGGTTGGGGGTGATTCCAGTGATCCCAGCCAGGCTCTTCCCACAGCTCTTCACTGGGAATCACAGCAGGGTGGGGGGTGATCCCAGTGATCCCAGCCAGCCCCTTCCCACAGCTCTGCACTGGGAATCATGGTGGGGGTGGGGGGTGATCCCAGTGATCCCAGCCTGCCTCTTCCCACAGCTCTGCACTGGGAATCATGGTGGGGGTGGGGGGTGATCCCAGTGATCCCAGCCAGCCCCTTCCCACAGCTCTTCACTGGGAATCACAGCAGGGTGGGGGGTGATCCCAGTGATCCCAACCAGCCCCTTCCTACAGCTCTTCACTGGGAATCACGGTGGGGGTGGGGGGTGATTCCGGTGATCCCAGTCAGCCCCTTCCGACAGCTCTTCACTGGGAATCACAGCAGGGGTGGGGGTGATCCGGTGATCCCAGCCAGGCTCTTCCCACAGCTCTGCACTGGGAATCATGGTGGGGGTGGGGGGTGATCCCAACCAGCCCCTTCCCACAGCTCTTCACTGGGAATCACGGGGGGTTGGGGGGTGATTCCAGTGATCCCAGCCAGGCTCTTCCCACAGCTCTTCACTGGGAATCACAGCAGGGTGGGGGTGGGGGGTGATTCCAGTGATCCCAGCCAGGCTCTTCCCACAGCTCTTCATCACGGTGATGGACAAGCTGCGCCTGGAGATCCGCGCCATGGACGAGGTGGGGTCGCGATCGGGGTGGGATCAGGGTTGGGTTCAGGATTGGGGTTGGGGGTGGGATCAGAGGTGGGTTCAGGATCGGGGGTTGGGGTCAGGGTTGGGGGTGGGATCAGGGTTGGGGTTGGGATCGGGGTTGGGATCAGGTTTAGGGTTGGGATCGGGGTTGGGATTGGGATAAGAGGTGGGATCAGGGTTGGGATCGGGGGGTGGGATCCGGGTTGGGGTCAGGATTGGGATTGGGATCAGGGTTGGGATCGAGGTGGGATCGGGATTGGGGTCAGGGTTGGGGTCGGGATCAGAAGTGGGATCAGGATTGGGGTTGGGGTCAGGATCGGGGTTGGGGTCAGGATTGGGGTTGGGATCGGCGTTGGGGTCAGGATTGGGGTGGGATCAGGGTTGGGGTTGGGATCAGGGTTGGGGTTGGGATCAGGATTGGGGTTGGGATCAGATGTGGGATCAGGGTTGGGGTTGGGGTCAGGGTTGGGGTTGGGATCAGAGTGGGTCAGGATCAGGGGTTGGGATAGTGGGTCAGGGTTGGGGTTGGGATCAGAGGTGGGATCAGGGTTGGGGTCAGGATTGGGGTTGGGATCAGAGGTGGAATCAGGGTTGGGATTGGGATCGGGGCTGGGGTCTGGATTGGGATTGGGATCAGGGTTGGGGTCAGGATTGGGATTGGGATTGGGGTTGGGATCAGGGTTGGGGTTGGGATCAGGGTTGGGGTTGGGTGGATCGGGGTTGGGATTGGGATCAGGGTTGGAGTTGGGATCGGGGTTGGGATTGGGATCAGGGTTGGGGTTGGGATCGGGGTTGGGATTGGGATCAGGGTTGGTGTTGGGATCGGGGTTGGGATCAGGGTTGGGGTTGGGATCAGAGGTGGGATCAGGGTTGGGGTTGGGGTTGGGATCAGGATTGGGGTTGGGATCAGAGGTGGGATCAGGGTTGGGGCTGGGATCAGGGTTGGGGTCAGTATTGGGGTTGGGTTTGGGATCAGAGGTGGGATCAGAGGTGGGATCAGGGCTGGGATCAGGGTTTGGGATCAGGAGCATTGCCAGGGCAGCCTCATCCTCCCCATCCCAAACCGCCGTTCCCACAGATCCAGCCGGACCTGCGGGAGCTGATGGAGACGATGAACCGCATGAGCCACCTGCCCCCCGACTTCGAGGGCAGGCAGAAGGTCAACCAGTGGTGAGCGCCGCGCTGGGGGGGGGTGTGTGTGTGTGGGGTCATTCCCAGGTTTTTGGGGGGTCCTGAGCCCGCCCTGCCCCTTCCCAAGGCTGCAGACGCTGAGCGGGATGTCGGCCTCGGACGAGCTGGACGATTCCCAGGTGCGGCAGATGCTCTTCGACCTGGAGTCCGCCTACAACGCCTTCAACCGCTTCCTGCACTCCTGAGCCCCTCCCAGACCCTCCCAAACCCGGGACAATAAACAGACCCCAAAAACCACCGGAGCCGTGTGGATAAATAAGGGGGTGTAATGATCCTGCCGGGGCTGGGTCCAATGGGGATCCCCCAGTTAAAACCAGTCCCTCCCAGTGCCCTCAGGGGCCCTTCCAGAAGAGCCTCTGGTCGCTCCGGACGCGGCGCCCGCAGAGCCGCAGATCCCGGATCATCCCCGTGCTCCTGGTCCAGGTGGGCTCGTCCAGGGGCCCCACGGAGCATCCTGGGGAAGGGGGGGGGTCAGTGACACAGGGACAGTGACACCAAGGACAGTGACACCAGGACAGTGACACAGGAAGAGTGACACAGGGGACAGTGACACAGGGACAGTGACACAGGGACAGTGACACGGGGACAGTGACACAGGGGACAGTGACAGGGACAGTGACACCGGGGACAGTGACACAGGGACAGTGACAGGGACAGTGACACAGGGACAGTGACACGGGGACAGTGACACAAGGACAGTGACACAAGGACAGTGACACAGGGACAGTGACACCGAGACAGTGACACGGGGACAGTGACACAGGGACAGTGACACAGGGACAGTGACACAAGGACAGTGACACAAGGACAGTGACACGGGGACAGGGACACTGGGACAGTGACACCGGGGACAGTGACACCAAGGACAGTGACACCAAGGACAGTGACACCAAGGACAGTGACACAAGGACAGTGACACGGGGACAGTGACACAGGGACAGTGACACAGGGGACAGTGACACAGGGGACAGTGACACGGGGACAGTGACACAGGAACAATGACACAGGGACAGTGACACCAAGGACAGTGACACGGGGACAGTGACACCAGGACAGTGACACCAAGGACAGTGACACGGGGGACAGTGACACGGGGGACAGTGACACAGGGACAGTGACACCAGGGACAGTGACAGGGACAGTGACAGGGACAGTGACACAGGGACAGTGACAGGGTCAGTGACACCAAGGACAGTGACATGGGGACAGTGACACAGGGACAGTGACACCAAGGACAGTGACACCAAGGACAGTGACACCAAGGACAGTGACACAGGGGACAGTGACACAGGGACAGTGACACAAGGACAGTGACACAGGGTCAGTGACACAGGGACAGTGACACCAAGGACAGTGACACGGGGACAGTGACACAGGGACAGTGACACCAGGACAGTGACACCAAGGACAGTGACACCAAGGACAGTGACACGGGGACAGTGACACGGGGACAGTGACACAGGGACAGTGACACCAAGGACAGTGACATGGGGACAGTGACACCGGGGACAGTGACACCAAGGACAGTGACACAGGGACAGTGACAGGGACAGTGACACAGGGACAGTGACACCAGGACAGTGACACCAAGGACAGTGACACCAAGGACAGTGACACGGGGACAGTGACACAGGGACAGTGACACAGGGACAGTGACACCAAGGACAGTGACACCAAGGACAGTGACACAGGGACAGTGACACAGGGACAGTGACACAAGGACAGTGACACGGGGTCAGTGACACGGGGACAGTGACACCAAGGACAGTGACACGGGGTCAGTGACACGGGGACAGTGACACAGGGGGCAGTGACACAGGGACAGTGACACCAAGGACAGTGACACAGGGGACAGTGACACAGGGACAGTGACACCAAGGACAGTGACACCAAGACAGTGACACCAAGACAGTGACACCAAGACAGTGACACCGGGACAGTGACATGGGTACAGTGACACAGGAACAGTGACACAGGGACAGTGACACGGGGACAGTGACACAGGGACAGTGACACCAGGGACAGTGACACCAAGGACAGTGACACCAAGACAGTGACACCAAGACAGTGACACCAAGACAGTGACACCGGGACAGTGACATGGGTACAGTGACACAGGAACAGTGACACAGGGACAGTGACACGGGGACAGTGACACAGGGACAGTGACACCAGGGACAGTGACACAGGGACAGTGACACCGGGACAGTGACACAGGAACAGTGACACCAAGGACAGTGACACCAAGGACAGTGACACCAAGGACAGTGACACCAAGGACAGTGACACAGGGACAGTGACACCAAGGACAGTGACACAGGGTCAGTGACACCGGGGACAGTGACACAGGGGACAGTGACATGGGGACAGTGACACCAAGGACAGTGACACAGGGTCAGTGACACCAGGACAGTGACAATTCCCACCTGCCAAGCTGAGGAATTCCAGCCCCCGGCTCCGCTTTTCCAGGGCCCCGAGCAGCGTCCGCAGGCCCTCGGTGCTGATCCCGGGATTGGCCGAGAGATCCAGGGAAACCAGGGATGGGCACGACGGGAGGGACCTGAGGGGAGAGAGTCAGGGGGTCCCCACTGTCACCCCATTGTCCCCAAGGGGGGTTCTGTTGTCCCCAGGAAGGTCCCGTTGTCCCCAAGGGGGGTTCCCATCATTCCCAGTGTCCTTGTTGGGGTCTCCATCGGGATGGGAAGGGGGAGGGTCCTGCTGCCAGGACCCCCCAGCTGTCCCCTGTCCCCTCACCTGGCCACCTCCTCAATGTCCTCGTCCCCCAGGTGGTTCCCGGAGAGCGTGAGGTGACTCAGGGCACAGCCGTCCTGTGGGGGGCACAGGGAATGTCACCATCCCCCTGGGAATGGCACCGTCCCCCTGGGAATGGCACCACCCCAGGAATGGCACCATCCCCCTGGGAATGTCACCGTCCCCCTGGGAATGCCACCATCCCCCTGGGAATGCCACCATCCCCCTGGGAATGGCACCGTCCCCCTGGGAATGTCACTGTCCCCCTGGGAATGAATGCCACCATCCCCCTGGGAATGGCACCACCCCGGGAATGGCACCGTCCCCCTGGGAATGTCACCGTCCTCCCGGGAATGGCACCATCCCCCTGGGAAAGGCACCACCCCGGGAATGGCACCCCCCATGTCCGTCAACATCCCAATGTCCCCTCTGTCCCCGTGTCTCCAATGTCCCCGTTATCTCCTTTGTCCCCTGTGTCCCCACTGTCCCCGTGTCCCCAACATCCCCCATGTTGTCCCTGTGCACCCCCTGTCCCCAACAGTGTCCCCATCCCATGTCCCCTCTGTGTCCCAGATGTTCCCGTGTCCCCCATGTCTATAATTCCCTGATGTCCCCAACATCCCCCATGTGCCCTCTGACCCCATGTCCCCAGCATTCCCTGTCCCCAACATTCCCTGTCCCCAACATTCCATGTCCCCAACATTCCCTGTCCCCAGCATTCCATGTCCCCAGCATTCCATGTGTCCAACATCTACCATGTCCCCATCCCCATGTCCCCAACATTCCATGTCTCCAACATTCCCTGTCCCCAACATTCCGTGTGTCCAACATTCCACGTGTCCAACATTCCCTGTCTCCAACATCTACCATGTCCCTGTCCCCATGTCCCCAGCATTCCCTGTCCCCAGCATTCCATGTGTCCAACATCTACCATGTCCCCATCCCCATGTCCCCAACATTCCATGTCTCCAACATTCCCTGTCCCCAACATTCCGTGTGTCCAACATTCCCTGTCCCCAATATTCCACATCCCCAACATTCCCTGTCCCCAACATTCCATGTCTCCAACATTCCGTGTCCCCAACATTCCACATCCCCAGCATTCCACGTCCCCAACATTCCATGTCCCCAATATTCCACATCCCCAACATTCCCTGTCCCCAGCATTCCCTGTCCCCAACATTCCATGTCCCCAGCACTCCCTGTCCCCAGCATTCCATGTCCCCAACATTCCCTGTCCCCAGCATTCCCTGTCCCCAACACTCCCTGTCCCCACGTTCCATGTCCCCAACATTCCCTGTCCCCAGCATTCCCTGTCCCCAACACTCCCTGTCCCCAGCACTCCCTGTCCCCAGCATTCCCTGTCCCCAGCACTCCCTGTCCCCAGCATTCCGTGTCCCCAGCATTCCACGTCCCCAGCATTCCATGTCCCCAGTGTCCCCAGCATTCCATGTCCCCAGCACTCCCTGTCCCCACCATTCCGTGTCCCCTGTGTCCCCAGCATTCCGTGTCCCCAGCACTCCCTGTCCCGTTCCCTGTCCCCAGTGTCCCCAGCATTCCGTGTCCCCACCCTCCCGTGTCCCCAGCACTCCCTGTCCCCAGTGTCCCCAGCACTCCGTGTCCCCCCTCCCGTGTCCCCGCGTGCCCTCACCTGCTCCAGGTAGGAGCGGACGATGCTGCCGATGCCGGGGGAGGGGGATGTGGTGACGGATCCCAGCTCCAGGCGCTGCATTCCCGGGGCCGGGAGACCCCTCAGGAGCCCCCCCAGGGCCGCGGGGCCCAGAGCGTTGCAGGACAGGGACAGCGCCCGCAGCAGGGACGTGCCTGGCACGGGGGACACTGGGGGTCACTGAGGGTCACTGGGGGGTCAGGGCACAGGGGGTCACCTCAGGGACACTCGGAGTCACCACAGGGACAGGGCATGGGGGGTCACTGAGGGGTCACCACAGGGACAGGACACTGAGGGTCACCACAGGGACAGGACACAGGGGGTCACCGTGGGGTCCCCACGGGGCCCAGAGCGTTGCAGGACAGGGGCAGCATCCGCAGCGGGGACGTGCCTGGCACGGGGGGCACTGGGGGTCACTGAGGGTCACCACAGGGTCACTGGGGGTCATTGCAGGGACACTGAGGGTCACCACAGGGACAGGACACTGGGGGTCACCGTGGGTTCCCCGCGGGGCCCAGAGCATTGCAGGACAGGGACAGCGCCCGCAGCGGGGACGTGCCTGGCACGGGGGGCACTGGGGGTCACTCAGGGTCACCCAGGGACACTGGGGGTCATTGCAGGGACACTGAGGGTCACCACAGGGACAGGACACTGGGGGTCACTGAGGGGTCACCACAGGGACAGGACACTGGGGGTCACTATGGGGACACCGCGGGGCCCAGCGCATTGCAGGACAGGGACAGCGCCTGCAGCGGGGACGTGCCTGGCACGGGGGGCACTGGGGGTCATTGCAGGGACACTGGGGGTCACTAAGGGGTCACCACAGGGACAGGACACTGGGGGTCACTATGGGGACACTGTGGGGCCCAGCGCATTGCAGGACAGGGACAGCACCCGCAGCGGGGACGTACCTGGCACGGGGGGCACTGGGGGTCACTGAGGGTCACTGAGGGTCACCCAGGGACACTTGGGGTCACCACAGGGACAGGACACTGGGGGTCACCAGGGGACACTGAGGGTCACCCAGGGACACTTGGGGTCACCACAGGGACAGGACATGGGGGGTCACTATGGGGTCACCGCAGGGCCCAGCGCGTTGCAGGACAGGGACAGCGCCCGCAGCGGGGACCTGCCTGGCACGGGGGGCACTGGGGGTCACTGGGGGGACACCACAGGGACACTGGGGGTCACCACAGGAACAGGACACGGGGGGTCACCAGGGGGTCCCCACGGGGCCCAGCGCATTGCAGGACAGGGACAGCGCCCGCAGCGGGGACGTGCCTGGCACGGGGGGCACTGGGGGTCACTGAGGGTCACCCAGGGACACTGGGGGTCATTGCAGGGACACTGGGGGTCACCAGGGGGTCACCACAGGGACAGGACATGGGGGGTCACTATGGGGACACCGCGGGGCCCAGAGCGTTGCAGGACAGGGACAGCGCCCGCAGCGGGGACGTGCCTGGCACGGGGGACACTGGGGGTCACTGAGGGTCACTGAGGGGTCACCTCAGGGACACTCGGGGTCACCACAGGGACACTGGGGGTCACTGAGGGGTCACCACAGGGACAGGACACTGAGGGTCACCACAGGGACAGGACATGGGGGGTCACTATGGGGTCCCCACGGGGCCCAGCGCGTTGCAGGACAGGGACAGCGCCCGCAGCGGGGACGTGCCTGGCACAGGGGGGCACTGGGGGTCACTGAGGGTCACTGGGGGTCACTGCAGGGACACTGGGGGTCACCAGGGGGTCACCACAGGGACAGGACACGGGGGGTCACTGTGGGGTCCCTGCGGGGCCCAGCGCGTTGCAGGACAGGGACAGCGCCCGCAGCGGGGACGTGCCTGGCATGAGGGCACCATGGGGTCACTGGGGGTCACCAGGGGGACACTGAGGGTCACCCAGGGACACTCGGGGTCACCACAGGGACAGGACATGGGGGGTCACTATGGGGTCACCGCAGGGCCCAGCACGTTGCAGGACAGGGACAGTGCCCGCAGCGGGGACGTGCCTGGCACGGGGGGCACTGGGGGTCATTGCAGGGACACTGGGGGTCACCCAGGGACACTGGGGGTCACTGAGGGTCACTGGGGGACACTGAGGGTCACTGGGGGTCACCACAGGGACAGGACACGGGGGGGTCACTGAGGGTCACTGGGGGTCACTGAGGGTCACCCAGGGACACTGGGGGTCACTAAGGGGTCACCACAGGGACAGGACACGGGGGGTCACTATGGGGACACCACATGGAGCCCAGCGCGTTGCAGGACAGGGACAGCGCCCGCAGCGGGGACGTGCCTGGCATGGGGGGCACTGGGGGTCACTGGGGGTCACTGGGGGTCACTGCAGGGACACTGGGGGTCACCAGGGGGTCACCACAGGGACAGGACACGGGGGGTCACTGTGGGGTCCCCGCGGGGCCCAGCGCGTTGCAGGACAGGGACAGCGTCCGCAGCGGGGACGTGCCTGGCACGGGGGACACTGAGGGTCACTGACGGTCACTGGGGGTCACCCAGGGACACTGGGGGGGTCACTGAGGGTCACTGGGGGTCACCACAGGGACACGGGGGGTCCCCAGAGGGACCCGGGGGTCTCACCTGGCAGCGGGAGGGCGTGGCAGAGGCCGCAGCCCCGCAGCAGCAGCGTGGCCAGCGCGGGGCAGGACGGCAGCAGCCGCCCCACGGCCCCACAGCCGCTGCTGCCCAGAGGGTTCAGGCTCAGGTCCAGCTCCTGCAGGCTCTGCGGGGACACATGGACACCAAGGGGACACACGGACATGGGGGACACACAGACATGGGGGGGACACACGGACACGGGGGACACACGGACACGGGGGGGGACACACGGACACGGGGGACACACGGACATGGGGGGACACACGGACATGGGGGACACACAGACATGGGGGGGACACACGGACACGGGGGGTCAGGGATGGACACACAGACACGGGAGTCAGGATTTAGGGAGCAGATAAAGGGTTTAGGGAACAGAGAGAGGATTTAGGGGCCCAAAGGCAGGATTTTGGGTGGATCCCGTACCTGGAGCCTGGTGGGGACAGGGCTCAGGATTTAGGGCCCCAAAGTCAGGCTTTAGGGCCCCAAAGTCAGGCTTTAGGGCTGATCCCGTACCTGGAGCCTGGTGGGGACAGGGCTCAGGATTTAGGGCCCCCCAGTCAGGCTTTAGGGCTGATCCCATACCTGGAGCCCGCTGGGGCTGGGGCTCAGGCTTTAGGGCCCCAAAGTCAGGATTTAGGGCCCCAAAGTCAGGCTTTAGGGCCAACCCCATACCTGTAGCCCGTGGGGGCTGGGTCTCAGGATTTAGGGCCCTGAAGTCAGGATTTAGGGCCCAAAGTCAGGCTTTAGGGCCGAGCCCGTACCTGGAGCCCAGTGGGGCCGGGGTTCAGGATTTAGGGCCCCAAAGTCAGGCTTTAGGGCCGAGCCCGTACCTGTATCCTGTGGGGGCCAGGGCTGAGGATTTAGGACCCCAAAGTCAGGCTTTAGGGCCGATCCCATACCTGGAGCCCAGTGGGGCTGGGGTTCAGGCTTTAGTGCCCCACAGTCAGGCTTTAGTGCCCCACAGTCAGGCTTTAGTGCCCCAAAGTCAGGCTTTAGGGCCCCAAAGTCAGTCAGGCTTTAGTGCCCCACAGTCAGGCTTTAGTGCCCCAAAGTCAGGCTTTAGTGCCCCACAGTCAGGCTTTAGTGCCCCACAGTCAGGCTTTAGTGCCCCACAGTCAGGCTTTAGTGCCCCACAGTCAGGCTTTAGTGCCCCAAAGTCAGTCAGGCTTTAGTGCCCCACAGTCAGGCTTTAGTGCCCCAAAGTCAGGCTTTAGTGCCCCAAAGTCAGTCAGGCTTTAGTGCCCCACAGTCAGTCAGGCTTTAGTGCCCCAAAGTCAGTCAGGCTTTAGTGCCCCAAAGTCAGTCAGGCTTTAGTGCCCCAAAGTCAGTCAGGCTTTAGTGCCCCACAGTCAGGCTTTAGTGCCCCAAAGTCAGGCTTTAGTGCCCCACAGTCAGGCTTTAGTGCCCCAAAGTCAGGCTTTAGGGCCCCAAAGTCAGTCAGGCTTTAGTGCCCCACAGTCAGACTTTAGGGCCCCAAAGTCAGTCAGGCTTTAGGGCCCCAAAGTCAGTCAGGCTTTAGTGCCCCACAGTCAGGCTTTAGGGCCCCAAAGTCAGGCTTTAGTGTTCCACAGTCAGGCTTTAGGGCCGATCCTGCACCTGTATCCTGTGGGGGCTGGGACTCAGGCTTTAGGGCCCCAAAGTCAGTCAGGCTTTAGTGCCCCACAGTCAGGCTTTAGTGCCCCAAAGTCAGTCAGGCTTTAGTGCCCCCCAAAAGCAGGCTTTAGTGCCGCTCCCGTACCTGGAAGGTGCCGTGGCCGGGCGGGAGGAGGCCGCGTGCGCTGAGCCGGTTGCCGGCCAGGTCGAGCAGGCGCAGGCGGGGCAGGGTGGCCAGCGTGGCCCAGAGCTCGGGGGCGGCGGGGTCGGCGATGGCGCAGCCGCGAAGCCGCAGCTCCCGCAGCGACTCCTGCAGCCGCAGCGCCCGCAGCAGGGGCGGCACCTGCGGGGCACGCAGGGCCAGCCCACCCCGCACCCCCAGAGCGGGGCCCGCGCCCTGCAGCTCCAGCACCTGCAGCAGCAGCGGGTGGGGGGCTGGGGGAAATGGGGGGTGTTGGTGGGGCTGGGGGTGTCCGGGGAGTGTCTGGGGAGGGGGGAGAGCACCCGGGCACCCCAGGATGGGCACTGAGGGAGCAGGGTCCCCAAAGGGGTGGGTGGGGGCTGAGGGGGGAAAAGGGGGCAAGGGGGTGTTGGTGGGTCTGGGAGTGTCTGGGGGTGTCTGGGGGGTGTCGGAGAGCACCCGGGCACCCCTCAGGATGGGCACTGAGGGAGCAGGGAGGGGACAAGGAGGGGACAGGGGAGGAGGAGGGTCCCCAAAGGGGTGGGGGAGGAAAGGGGGCGTTTGGGGGTGTTGGTGGGTCTGGGGGTGTCTGGGAGGGTGGGGAGAGCACCCGGGCACCCCAGGATGGGCACTGAGGAGCAGGGAGGGGAGGAAGGTCCCCAAAGGAGTGGGTGGGGGCTGGGGGTGGAAAAGGGGATGTTGGTGGGTCTGGGGTGTCTGGGGGTGTCTGGGGAGGGAGAGCACCCAGGGCACCCCTGGGATGGGCACTGAGGGAGCAGGGAGGGGACAGGGAGGGACAGGGAGGGGAGGAGGGTCCCTAAAAGGGTGGGGGAGAAAGGGGGCGTTTGGGGGTGTTGGTGGGTCTGGGGGTGTCTGGGGGTGTCTGGGGAGTGGGGAGAGCACCCAGGCACCCTGGGATGGGCACTGAGGGAGCAGGGAGGGGACAGGGAGGGGACAGGAGGGGACAGGGAGGGTTGCAGGGTCCCTAAAAGGGTGGGTGGGGACTGGGGGGACAGGAGGGGAGGAGGGTCCCCAAAGGGCTGGGGGAAAGGGGGCGTTTGGGGGTGTTGGTGGGTCTGGGGGGTGTCTGGGGGGTGTCTGGGGAGTGGGGAGAGCACCCGGGCATCCCCGGGATGGGCACTGAGGGAGCAGGGAGGGGACAGGGAGGGGTGCAGGGTCCCCAAAGGGGGTGAGTGGGGGGCTGGGGGGACAGGGAGGGGTGCAGGGTCCCCAAAGGGTGGAGTGGGGGAAAGGGGGTGTGTGGGGGGTGTTGGTGGGGCTGGGGGTATCTGGAGGGTGTCTGGGGGAGGGGAGAGCACCCGGGCACCCCGGGATGGGCACTGAGGGAGCAGGGAGGGGACAGGGAGGGGAGCAGGGTCCCCAAAGGGCTGGGGGAAAGGGGGCGTTTGGGGGTGTTGGTGGGTCTGGGGATCCAGGGGGTGTCTGGGGGAGGGGAGAGCACCCCGAGCACCCCCAGGATGGGCACTGAGGGAGCAGGGAGGGGACAGGGAGGGGAGCAGGGTCCCCAAAGGGTGGGGGGAAGAGGGGGCGTTTGGGGGTGTTGGTGGGTCTGGGGGATCCAGGGGTGTCTGGGGAGGGGGAGAGCACCCCGAGCACCCCAGGATGGGCACTGAGGGAGCAGGGAGGGGACAGGGAGGGGAGGAAGGTCCCCAAAGGGGTGGGTGGGGGGCTGGGGGACAGAGAGGGGTGCAGGGTCCCCAAAGGGGTGGGCAGGGGACAGGGAGGGTGCAGGGTCCCCAAAGGGGTGGGTGGGGGCTGGGAGGGAACAGGGGAGGAGGAGGTCCCTAAGGGGGTGGTTGGGGGCTGGGGGGGACAGGGTCCTCACCCCCACCCAGGGACCCCTGAGACATCCCCAATCCCCTGATGGCCCCACAGCAGGGCTGCCCGGGCGTGGGACCCCCAGGATGATCCCTGAGGGAACTGGGAAGGGATGAGGGTCCCCAGAGGGGTGGGCAGGGGACAGGGGTCTTCACCCCCCACCCAGGGAGCCCTGAGACCCCCTGGAGACCCCCAAATGCCCCTCATGGCCCAGGATCTCCTCCCCTCCAGACACGGGACCCCTGGGATGGTCCCTGAGGGAGCAGGGAGGGGAGGAGGGTCCCCAAAGGGGTGGGCAGGGGACAGGGAGGGGACAGGGGTCCTCACCCCCACCCAGGGACCCCTGAGACCCCCAGGCACCCCTAATCCTGCTGACACCCCCAGACCAACCAGGGACAGGAGTTTTCCTGGGGAACTGGACCCCTGGGATGGTTCCCAAAGGGACAAGGAAGGGACAGGGAGGGGATGAGGGTCCCCAAAGGGGTGGGTGGGGAGGCTGGGGGGACAGGGGGTGTCCCCCCTCTCTTTGGGGAGGGTCTGGGGGGTCCTCACCCACTCCCAGGCTGTCACAGGCCCTCTGGTACCGCTGGGGGAGCGGGGGCAGGTCCCAGCCCTGCACCTCTGCCAGCACCTGCAGCCCAAGACCCCAGCCCCAAATCCGTCACTGGGGACACCCCTCACGGATTGGGGGTCCTGGGGCCAATCCCTACCCAGAATGGGGGTCCTTGGCCACCCCCAGTCCAGAATGGGGGTCCTGGGACCATCTCCCACCCGGAATGGGGGTCCTGGGAACATCTCCCACCCAGATTAGGGGTCCTGGGGCCACCCCCCACCCGGAATGGGGGTCCTGGGGCCACCCCCAACCTAGAATAGGGGTCCTGGGGCCACCCCCCACCTGGATTGGGGGTCCTGGGATCACCCCCCACCCAGAATGGGGGTCCTGGGACCACCCCCCAACCGGACTGGGGGTCCTGGGGCCAATCCCTACCCAGAATGGGGGTCCTGGGGCCAACCCCAACCTGGAATGGGGATCCTGGGGCCACCCCTGGCCCAGACTGGGGGTTCTGAGACCATCCCCCACCCAGATTGGGGGTCCTGGGACCACCCCCCACCCAGAATGGGGGTCCTGGGACCACCCCCCACCCAGATTGGGGCTCCTGGGGCCACCCCCCACCCAGAATGGGGGTCCTGGGACCACCCCCAACCCAGAATGGGGGTCCTGGGGGCACCCCTCAACCGGAATGGGGGTCCTGGGAACATCTCCCACCCGGAACAGGGGTCCTGGGACCATCCCGAACCCAGAATGGGGGTCCTGGGGCCACCCCCCACCCAGATTGGGGGTCCTAGGGCCACGCCCCACCCAGAATGGGGGTCCTGGGGCCACCCCCCACCCAGATTGGGGGTCCTGGGACCACCCCCCACCCAGATTGGGGGTCCTAGGGCCACGCCCCACCCAGAATGGGGGTCCTGGGACCACCCCCCACCCAGAACTGGGGTCCTGGGGCCAGCCCCTACCCAGATTAGGGGTCCTGGGACTATCTCCCACCCGGATTGGGGGTCCTGGAGCCACCCCCAACCCAGAACAGGGGTCCTGGGACCACCCCCAACACAGAATGGGGGTCCTGGGGCCAACCCCAACCCGGATTGGGGGTCCTGGGGCCAATCCCCACCCAGAATGGGGGTCCTGGGACCACCCCCCACCCGGAATGGGGGTCCTGGGAACATCTCCCACTCAGAATGGGCGTCCTGGGGCCACCCCCAACTCACAATGGGGGTCCTGGGGCCATCTCCCACCCGGAATGGGGGTCCTGGGACCATTCCCCACCCAGATTAGGGGTCCTGGGGCCACCCCCAACCGGAATGGAGGTCCTGGGGCCACCCCCAACCCAGACTGGGGGTCCTGGGGCCACCCCCAGCCCAGATTGGGGGTCCTGGGGCCACCCCCAACTCAGAATGGGGGTCCTGGGGCCATCTCCCATCCGGATTGGGAGTCCTGGGACCACCTCTCACTCAGAATGGGGGTCCTGGGGCCATCTCCCATCCGGATTGGGAGTCCTGGGACCATCTCCCACCCGGAACAGGGGTCCTGGGGCCAATCCCAACCCAGACTGGGGGTCCTGGGGACACCCCCAACCCAGAATGGGGGTCCTGGGGCCACCCCCAACCCAGAATGGGGGTCCTGGGGCCATCTCCCACCCAGATTGGGGGTCCTGGGGCCAATCCCTACCCAGAATGGGGGTCCTGGGGCCACCCCCCGCCCAGATTGGGGGTCCTGGGGCCACCCCCCACCCAGGAATGGGGGTCCTGGGGCCACCCCCCACCCAGAACTGGGGTCCTGGGGCCAGCCCCTACCCAGATTGGGGGTCCTGGGACTATCTCCCACCCGGATTGGGGGTCCTGGAGCCACCCCCAACCCAGAACAGGGGTCCTGGGACCACCCCCAACACAGAATGGGGGTCCTGGGGCCAACCCCAACCCGGATTGGGGGTCCTGGGGCCAATCCCCACCCAGAATGGGGGTCCTGGGACCACCCCCCACCCGGAATGGGGGTCCTGGGAACATCTCCCACTCAGAATGGGGGTCCTGGGGCCACCCCCAACTCACAATGGGGGTCCTGGGGCCATCTCCCACCCGGAATGGGGGTCCTGGGACCATTCCCCACCCAGATTAGGGGTCCTGGGGCCACCCCCAACCGGAATGGAGGTCCTGGGGCCACCCCCAACCCAGACTGGGGGTCCTGGGGCCACCCCCAACTCAGAATGGGGGTCCTGGGGCCATCTCCCATCCGGATTGGGAGTCCTGGGACCACCTCTCACTCAGAATGGGGGTCCTAGGGCCATCTCCCATCCGGATTGGGAGTCCTGGGACCATCTCCCACCCGGAACAGGGGTCCTGGGGCCAATCCCAACCCAGACTGGGGGTCCTGGGGCCACCCCCACCCGGAGTTTTCCCGGGAAGCTGCCAGGGCTGCCCCCACCTCCTCGTTGCTCTGCAGGACGTCGCCCACCAGGTCCTGGGGGGCCAGCAGAGCCCCCTCCTTCTTCAGGATGAGCTTGGGCAGCGTCCCCGAGGCCTGGAAGTGCCGCTCGGCAGCGCGATCCGCCAGCCACGACACCGCCCGCGGCTCGCTGGGAACAGGGAGAGAGGGAATGGGAATGGGGACAGTGGGAATGGGGGGAATGGCACTGGGAATGGGGGGGAGAGTGTGGGAATGGGGAGAGTGGGGATGGGGAGAGTGGGGATGGGGAGAGTGGGAATGGGGAGAGTGGGAATGGGGGGAATGGCACTGGGAATGGGGGGGAGTGTGGGAATGGGGGAGAGTGTGGGAGTGGGGAGAGTGGGAATGGGGAGAGTGGGAATGGGATGGGGAGAGTGGGAATGGGGATGGGGAGAGTGGGAATGGGGAGAGTGGGAATGGGGAGAGTGGGAATGGGAATGGGGGGAATAGTGTGGGAATGCGGGAGAGTGGGAATGGGGAGAGTGGGAATGGGGAGAGTGGGAATGGGGAGAGTGGGAATGGGGATGGGGAGAGTGGGAATGGGAATGGGGAGAGTGGGAATGGGGAGAGTGGGAATGGGAATGGGGAGAGTGGGAATGGGAATGGGGGGGAGTGGGAATGGGAATGGGGAGAGTGGGGAGAGTGGGAATGGGGAGAGTGGGAATGGGGATGGGGGGAGTGGGAATGGGGAGAGTGGGAATGGGGGGAATGGCACTGGGAATGGGGAGAGTGGGAATGGGGAGAGTGGGAATGGGGAGAGTGGGAATGGGGAGAGTGGGAATGGGGGAAGGAGTGGGAATGGGGATGGGGAGAGTGGGAATGGGGAGAGTGGGAATGGGGATGGGGAGAGTGGGAATGGGGAGAGTGGGAATGGGGAGAGCGGGAATGGGAATGGGGAGAGTGGGAATGGGGATGGGGGAGAGTGGGAATGGGGAGAGTGGGAATGGGGAGAGTGGGAATGAGAATGGGAATGGGGAGAGTGGGAATGGGAATGGGGAGAGTGGGAATGGGAATGGGGAGAGTGGGAATGGGAATGGGGAGAGTGGGAATGGGGAGAGTGGGAATGGGGGGAATGGCACTGGGAATGGGGGAGAGTGTGGGAATGGGAGAGAGTGGGAATGGGAGAGAGTGGGAATGGGGGAGAGTGGGAATGGGGAGAGTGGGAATGGGGAGAGTGGGAATGGGGGAGAGTGTGGGAATGGGGGGAATGGCACTGGGAATGGGGAGAGTGTGGCAATGGGGGGGAGTGGGGAGAGTGTGGTAACAGGGAGAGAGTGGGAATGGGGGAATGGCACTGGGAATGGGGGGGAGAGTGGGAAGGGGGGAGTGTGGGAATGGGGAGAGTGGGAATGGGGAGAGTGGGAATGGGGAGAGTGGGAATGGGGGAGAGTGGGAATGCAGAGAGTGGGAATGGGGGAGAGAGTGGGAATGGGGAGAGTGTGGGAATGGGGAGAGTGTGGGAATGGGGAGAGTGTGGGAATGGGGAGAGTGGGAATGGGGAGAGTGTGGGAATGGGGGTAATGACACTGGGAATGGGGGAGACTGTGGGAATGGGGAGAGTGGGAATGGGGAGAGTGTGGGAATGGGGAGAGTGGGAATGGAGAGTGTGGGAATGGGGAGAGTGTGGGAATGCGGGTAATGACACTGGGAATGGGGGAGACTGTGGGAATGGGGAGAGTGAGAATGGGGAGAGTGGGAATGGGGAGAGTGGGAATGGAGAGTGTGGGAATGGGGAGAGTGGGAATGGGGAGAGTGGGAATGGGGAGACTGTGGGAATGGGGAGAGTGGGAATGGGGAGAGTGGGAATGGGGAGAGTGTGGGAATGGGGAGAGTGGGAATGGAGAGTGTGGGAATGGGGAGAGTGGGAATGGAGAGAGTGGGAATGGGGAGAGTGTGGGAATGGGGGAATAGCACTGGGAATGGGGGAGAGTGGGAGAGTGTGGGAATGGGGGGGAGAGTGGGAATGGGGAGAATGGGAATGGGGGAGAGTGTGAGAATGGGAAGAGAGTGGGAATGGGGGGAATGGCATTGGGAATGGGGAGAGTGGGAATGGAGAGAGTGGGAACAGGGAGAGTGTGGGAATGGAGAGAGCGGGGATGGGGGGAATAGTGTGGGAATGGGGGAGAGAGTGGGAATGGGGAGAGTGTGGGAGTGGGAGAGAGTGGCAATGGGGGAGAGTGGGAATGGGGAGAGTGGGAATGGAGAGTGTGGGAATGGGGGGAATAGTGTGGGAATGGGGGAATGGCATTGGGAATGGGGAGAGTGTGGGAATGGGGGGGAGAGTGGGAATGGAGAGAGTGGGAATGGGGGAAAAAGTGGGAGAGAGTGGGAATGGAGAGAGTGTGGGAATGGGGGAGAGTGGGAATGGGAATGGGGGGAATAGAGTGGGAATGGGGAGAGTGTGGGAATGGGGGGAATGGCATTGGGAATGGGGAGAGTGTGGGAATGGGGGAGTGTGGGAATGGGGGGAATGGCACTGGGAATGGGGGAGAGAGTGGGAGTGGGAGAGAGTGGGAATGGGGAGAGTGGGAATGGGGAGAGTGGGAATGGGGAGAGTGGGAATGGGGGAGAGTGGGAATGGGGGAGAGAGTGGGAGTGGGAGAGAGTGGGAATGGGGGAGAGAGTGGGAATGGGGGAGAGAGTGGGAGTGGGAGAGAGTGGGAATGGGGGAGAGAGTGGGAATGGGGGAGAGAGTGGGAATGGGGGAGAGAGTGGGAATGGGGGAGAGAGTGGGAGTGGGAGAGAGTGGGAATGGGGAGAGTGGGAATGGAGAGAGTGTGGGAGTGGGAGAGAGTGGGAATGGGGGGAATGGCACTGGGAATGGGGGAGAGTGGGAATGGGGATAGTGTGGGAGTGGGAGAGAGTGGGAATGGGGAGAGTGGGAATGGGAATGGGGGGAATAGAGTGGGAATGGGGGAGAGTGTGGGAATGGGGGAGAGTGGAAATGGGTGGGGAGTGTGGGAATGGGGGAGAGTATGGGAATGGGGTGGGAATGGCATTGGGAATGGTATTGGGAGTGGGGTGGGAATGCCATTGGGAACTGGGCAGGAATGGCACTGGGAACAGGATGGGAATGCCATTGGGAACGGGATGGGAATGGCAGGTGGGAATGGCATTGGGAGTGGGGTGGGAATGCCACTGGGAACAGGGTGGAAACGGCACCGGGAATAGGGTGGGAATGGTACAGGGAATGGTACAGGGAATGGTATCAGGAATGGTGCAAGAACAGCGCAGGAATGGCACCAGGAATGGGGTAGGAATGGTGTGGGAATGGTGTGGAAGTGGTGTGGGAATGGCATTGGAATGGCATGGGAATGGTGTGGAAGTGGTGTGGGAATGGCATGGGAATGGTGTGGAAGTGGTGTGGGAATGGCATGGGAATGGTGCAGGAATGGGGTCGGAATGGTTCCAGGAATGGGGCAGGAACAGTACCAGGAATGGGGTGGGAATAGCACGGAAATGGTACAAGGCATGGGAATGGGAACAGGACCAGGAACGGGGGGAGAACGGCCAGGAAGGGCAGGGAATGGCGTGGGAATGGCGTGGGAATGGCACCAGGACACACCGGGGGGGGTCTGGAATCGGGGAGGATCCCCCCACTCACCTCAGGGGCACCGGGATCAGGAAAACGTTGTCCTGGACACGGACACGGACGCGCAGGGTGGGCAGTGGCGCCGGTGGCACCGCTGGACTCGGGGGCACCGCTGGATCCGGAGGCACCGCTGGATCCGGGGCCACCCCTGGATCTGGGATGCTCCCCTCGCCCTCCTCCCCCTCCTGCCCCAGGTCACTCCCGGGCTCCTCGGGGGGCCGGGATCGCCCCGGGGGGACCCTGGGGATCCTCTCCCCTCGGAGCCTCCGCACATCCCGGTTCCTCCTCCTGATCCCGCCGCTCCCAGGCCCATCCCGGTTCCTCCTCCTGATCCCAGGACCATCCCGGGGCTCCCGGCGCGGCCTCTTGCGGGTCCCCCGGGCCCCTCCCAGGTCGTCCTCCAGCCAATCCTCCTGCTCCAGGAATTCCTGGGCGGGGATGAGGGCCGGGAGCGGCGCCGCCCGCGGGGCGGGTTTGGAGCTCCCGAGGGCGGGGTTGGCTCCGGCCAGGATGGATTTGGTGCCGCCCAGGATGGATTTGGTGCCGCCCAGGATGGATTTGGCGCTGCCCAAGCTGCGGATGGCGGCTCCCAACTCATCCTCCTCCTCCTCCCCTTGCTCCTGCGGGTTCCCGGCCTCCGGAAGGCAGCGGCGCTTCCTCCCCGGAGAGGAGGGAGAGGAGGGTGAGGAAGGCGAGGAAGGGACATCCCCATTCCCATCCCCATTCCCGGGACGCTCCGGAGAGCACGGCGGAGACTCCGGGATGAGGCGCTCGGAGAGCTCCGCGTCGAACAGCGACTCCTGCGACGGCTCTGTGGAAAAATCGAGGAGCTGCTTTTATTCCGAGCAAATCAAAACGAACAAAAGCACTATTTCTGGATATTTACTGACTTATAGGCGTGCCGTGGGGGCTGCAAGGTGAAGGGTCCTATCTGGACCTCTCACCGGGGGATCTTTCGTGGCCGGGAACAAATTATGAATAAAAATCATAGAATCATAGAATAGATTGGGTTGGAAAAGACCTCCAAGATCATCAAGTCCAACCCCTGATCCAACTCTAATTACTATATCATGGCACTAAGGGCCATGTCCAATCTCTTTTTACAAACCTCCAGGGATGGTGAATCCACCACCTCTCTGGGCAGGCCGTTCCAATGCCTGATCACCCTCTCTGTAAAGAATTTCTTCCTAACATCTAACCTAAACTTCCCCTGGCAGAGCTTGAGCCCATGTCCCCTTGTCCTGTTGTTGGTTGCCTGGGAGAAGAGACCAACCCCCACCTGGCTATAACTTCCCTTCAGGTAGTTGAAGAGAGTGATGAGGTCACCTCTAAGCCTTCTCTTCTCTAGACTAAACAATCCCAGCTCCCTCAGCCTCTCCTCATAGGACTTGTGCTCAACTTCCCCAGCCTGGTTGCTCTTCTCTGGACCTGCTCCAGCCCCTCCAGGTCCTTCCTGAGCTGAGGGGCCCAGAACTGAACACAATACTCAAGGTGTGGCCTCACCAGCGCTGATTCCAGGGCAAGGATCAGTTCCCTGCTCCTGCATTCCCCTGTATTCCTCTGTGCCACGTGGGTACACAGAGAGACCCTCCATGCCTTGCAATGTGAGGATGATGCAAGACCCCCCAGGGGAGGTATGTTACAACCAGCCAAAAGGTAACACCCACCTCCAAAGCAGAGAAATTGCCTTTTAAAAAGGCAACAAGCGGGCAGTAAAATGAACATTCAACAAACTGACATCAAAGGGTACAAACAGCGCGGTTTTCAAACAGCAAGGGGTGCTCTTTGCACGATTCAAGGGCGCACCCAGTGCTGGAAATGGGTAAAAATAAAATAAAAAACCTCTTGCTAGATTTCTTTGTCCTGCAGGTATTTTTTTTGGCCGTCTTCAAAATCCCAGAGAAAAAATAACTTATAACAACTCCGGGGGGGCTTTGCGGGGTGGGGGGGAAAAAACAGCAGCTCAGAGACCTGCCCAATCACCAGGAGGAGGGGTCCCACCAGGAGGAGGGGTCTCACCAGGAGGAGGGGTCCCACCAGGAGGAGGGGTCTCACCAGGAGGAGGGGTCCCACCAGGAGGAGGGGTCTCACCAGGAGGAGGGGTCTCACCAGGAGGAGGGGTCTCACCAGGAGGAGGGGTCTCACCAGGAGGAGGGGTCCCACCAGGAGGAGGGGTCTCACCAGGAGGAGGGGTCCCAGCACCCCCTGGCTGCCGGGAATGTCGTTTCATCCCACCTGGAGCAGCCATGGCGTCGAGCAGCATCCTCTGCGTGGCTCGGCACTGCAGCCGCGTGTCGCGGTCCAGCTCGGGGCCGTAGGTGCGCGCCCACTCCTGCAGCGTGCCCAGCGGGGTCTGGCCCTGCGGCAGGGGGGTCCCTGAGGGGTTAGGGGGTTGGGTTTGGGGTGGGGGGCAGCGGGAAGGGGGCAGGGGCACCCACCCTGGCGTTGCGGGCGCGCACGGAGGCGCCGCGGCGGATCAGCAGCTCGGCCACCGCGAAGTGGCCGCAGCTCAGCGCGTCGTGCAGGGGGGTGATGCCCTCGCAGCCCGAGCCCCCCGCGTCGTCCAGGGCGGCCCCCGCGTCCAGCAGAGCCTCCACGATCTCTGGGGGGGGGAGATAGAGTCCTTGTCACCCCCCTGAGACCCCCCTGTCACCCCCAGGGGCTGGGTCAGCCCCCATCCCATCCCTGTTCTGTCAGAGACCATCCTGAGAAAAACCCAGGTTTGGGGCCATCAGGGGGATTTTGGGGGGTCCTCAGGGGGTCTCAGGGGATCCTGGGTGGGGGGTGAGGACCCCTGACCCCTCCCTGTCACCTTGGGGACCCTCCTCCCCTCCCTGTTCCCCTGGGAGCATCCTTGTCACCTCCTCATCCCATCCCTGTTCCCTCATGGACCAGCCCGGGGGTCCCATGCCTGGGGTAGCCCCTGCTGTGGGGCCATCAGGGGGATTTTGGGGGGTCCCCAGGGGGGTTTTCGTGTCCCTGGGTGGGGGGTGAGGACGCCCTGACCCCTTCCTGTCACCTTGGGGACCCTCCTCCCCTCCCTGTCCCCCTGGGAGCATCCTTGTCACCCCCCATCCCATCCCTGCTCCCTCAGGGACCAGCCCGGGGCAAACCCAGGTTTGGGGTCATCAGAGGGATTTGGGGGGGTCCTCAGGGGGTCTCAGGGGTCCCTGGGTGGGTGGTGAGGACCCCTGATCCCTCCCTGTCCCCCTGGGAGCATCCTTGTCACCTCCCATCCCACCCCTGTTCAGTCAGAGACCATCCTGAGAAAAACCCCGGTGTGGGGTCATCAGGGAGATTTTGGGGGGTCCCCAGGGGGGTTTTGGTGTCCCAGGGTGGGGGGTGAGGACCCCTGACCCCTCCCTGTCCCCCTGGGAATGTCCTTGTCACCTCCTCATCCCATCCCTGTTCCCTCAGAGACCAGCCTGGGGCAAACCCAGCTTTGGGGCCATCAGGGAGATTTTGGGGGTCCCCAGGGGGTCTCAGGGGTCCCTGGGTGGGTGGTGAGGACCCCTGACCCCTCCCTGTCACCTTCAGGACACTTATCCCTTCCTTGTCCCCTCCCTGTCCCCCTGGGAGCATCCTTGTCACCCCCTTGTCCCATCCCTGTTCCCTCAGGGACCATCCTGAGAAAAAACCAGGTTTGGGGCCATCAGGGGGATTTTGGGGGGTCCTCAGGGGGGTTTTGGTGTCCCTGGGTGGGTGGTGAGGACCCTGACCCCCTCCCTGTCACCTTCAGGACACTTATCCCTTCCTTGTCCCCTCCTGTCCCCCTGGAGCATCATATCACCCCTTGTCCCATCCCTGTTCCCTCAGGGACCATCCTGAGAAAAAACCAGGTTTGGGGCCATCAGGGGGATTTTGGGGGGTCCTCAGGGGGGTTTTGGTGTCCCTGGGTGGGTGGTGAGGACCCCTGACCCCTCCCTGTCACCTTCAGGACACTATCCTTCTTGTCCCTTCCCTGTCCCCCTGGGAATGTCCTTGTCACCCCCCATCCCATCCCTGTTCCCTCAGGGACCATCCCGGGGCAAACCCAGGTTTGGGGTCATCAGAGGGATTTGGGGGGGTCCTCAGGGGTCCCTGGGTGGGGGGTGAGGACCCCTGACCCCTCCCTGTCACCTTCAGGACACTTATCCCTTCCTTGTCCCCTCCCTGTCCCCCTGGGAATGTTCTTGTCACCTCCTTGTCCCATCCCTGCTCCATCAGGGACCAGCCCGGGGCAAACCCAGGTTTGGGGCCATCAGGGGGATTTTGGGGGGTCCCCAGGGGGTCTCAGGGGTCCCTGGGTGGGGGGTGAGGACCTCCTGACCCCTCCCTGTCACCTTGGGGACCCTCCTCACCTCTCTGTCCCCCTGGGAATATCCTTGTCACCTCCTCATCCCATCCCTGCTCCCTCAGGGACCATCCCGGGGCAAACCCAGCTTTGGGGCCATCAGGGGATTTTGGGGGTTCCCCAGGGGGGTTTTGGTGTCCCTGGGTGGGGGGTGAGGACCCCCTGACCCCTCCCTGTCCCCCTGGGAATGTCCTTGTCACCTCCTTGTCCCATCCCTGTTCCCTCAGAGACCAGCCTGAGAAAAACCCAGGTTTGGGGCCATCAGGGGGATTTTGGGGGGTCCCCAGGGGGTCTCAGGGGTCCTGGGTGGGGGTGGGGGGAAGCCCCTGACCCCTCCCCATTCCCTCCCCTCACTTTGGGGGACCACCCCCCTCATTTTGGGGGTCCCCAAACCCACCCCCCTCACCGAGGTGCTCGTGGTTGCAGGGGGGTCCCAGCCCTCCCCTCCCCCTCATTTTGGGGTCCCCAGAGCCCTCTCCCAATTTGGGGGTCCCCAGAGTCCCCCTCCCCAATTTGGGGGTCCCCAAAGCCCCCTCACCAAGGTACCCGTGGTTGTAGGGGGTCCAGGACCCTCCCCCTCCCCTCCCCAATTTGGGGGTCCCCAGAGCCCTCCCCAATTTGGGGGTCCCAGCCCTCACCGAGGTGCCTGTGGTTGCAGGGGGTCCCAGCTCCTCCCCAATTTGGGGGTCCCCAGAGCCCCTCACCGAGGTGCCCGTGGTTGCAGGGGGGTCCCCAGAGCCCTCCCCAATTTGGGGGTCCCAGCCCCCTCCCCAATTTGGGGGTCCCAGCCCCCCCTCACCGAGGTGCCCGTGGTTGCAGGGGGGTCTCCAAAGCCCCCCTCCCCAATTTGGGGGTCCCCAGAGCCCCCCTCACCGAGGTGCCCGTGGTTGCAAGGGGTCCCAGCCCCTCCCCTCCCCCAATTTGGGGTCCCAAAGCCCCCTCACCGAGGTGCCCGTGGCTGCAGGGGGTCCCAGCTCCCTCCCCAATTTGGGGGTCCCCAAAGCCCCCTCACCGAGGTGCCCGTGGCTGCAGGGGTCCCAGCTCCCTCACCCTCTCCTCCTCCCAATTTGGGGGTCCCAGCCCCTCACCGAGGTGCCCGTGGTTGCAGGGGGTCCCAGCCCCTCCTCCCCCAATTTGGGGTCCCAGCCCCCTCACCGAGGTGCCTGTGGTTGCAGGGGGTCCCCAAAGCCCCCTCCCCAATTTGGGGTCCCAGCCCCTCCCCTCCCCAATTTGGGGGTCCCAGCCCCCTCACCGAGGTGGTCGTGGCTGCAGGAGGGTCCCAGCCCCTCCCCCACTCTGGGGGTCCCCAGAGCCCCCTCCCCAATTCTGGGGGTCCCCAAAGCCCCTCACCGAGGTGCCTGTGGTTGCAGGGGTCCGAGCCCCTCCCCCTTTCCTCCCCACTCTGGGGTCCCCAAAGCCCCCTCCCCAATTTGGGGTCCCAGCCCCTACCCCCTCCCCCAATTTGGGGGTCCCCAAAGCCCCCTCCCCACTTTGGGGTCCCAGCCCCTCCCCTTCCCCAATTTGGGGGTCCCAGCCCCTCACCGAGGTGGCCATGGTTGCAGGGAGGTCCCAGCCCTCCTCCCCAATTTGGGGGTCCCCAGAGCCCCTCACCGAGGTGCCTGTGGTTGCAGGGGGGTCCCCAGAGCCCTCCCCAATTTGGGGGTCCCTAGAGCCCCCTCATTTTGGGGGTCCCAGCCCCCTCCCCTCATTTTGGGGTCCCAGCCCCTCCCCACTTTGGGGGTCCCAGCCCCTCACCGAGGTGCCCGTGGTTGCAGGGTCCAAAGCTCCCCTCCCCAATTTGGGGGTCCTCAGAGCCCCTCACCGAGGTGCCCGTGGTTGCAGGGGGTCCCAAAGCCCCCTCCCCAATTTGGGGTCCCCAGAGCCCCTCACCGAGGTGCCCGTGGTTGCAGGGGTCTCGCAGCCCCTCCCCAATTTGGGGTCCCTAGACCCTCACCAGGTGCCAGTGGTTGCAGGGGTCCCCAAAGCCCCCTCCCAACCTGGGTCCCAGCCCCTCACCGAGGTGCCCGTGGTTGCAGAGGGTCTCCCAGAGCCCCTCCCCAACTTGGGGTCCCCAAAGCCCCCTCACCGAGGTGCCCGTGGTTGCAGGGGTCCCAGCCCTCCCCTCCCCAATTTGGGGGTCCCCAGCCCCCTCACCGAGGTGCCCGTGGTTGCAGGGGGTCCCAGCCCTCCTCCCCCTCCCCAACTTGGGGGTCCCAGCCCCCTCCCCCCCAATTTGGGGTCCCAGCCCCCTCACCGAGGTGCCTGTGGTTGCAGGGGGTCCCAGCCCCTCCCCTCTCCCTCCCCAATTTGTGGGTCCCAGCCCTCCTCCCCAATTTGGGGGTCCCAGCCCCTCACCGAGGTGCCCGTGGTTGCAGGGGGGTCCTAGCCCCCCTCAGCGTTCCCCCCTCCCCAATTTGGGGGTCCCAGCCCCCCTCACCGAGGTGCCCGTGGTTGCAGGCCTCGTGCAGGGGGGTCCATCCGCAGTAATCCCGGGGGTTCACGGGGTGGCCCTGGGAAAGGGGGGACCCCCCACCCCATTGAGGGGGGGCAGGGCAAGGGGGAGACCCCCACCTCCCTTTTTGGGGTGCCAGGAGAGACCCCCTCCCCCCCATTTCTGTACCCCAACCCATTTTTTGGGGGTGTCAGGGGGGACCCTCCCACCCCGGGGGGTGTCAGGGAAAGGGGGGGTCTTTGGGGTTTTGGGGGTTCAGGGAACCCCAAGGGTTTTGGGGACCCCTCCCCACCTTGGTGGGTGTTGTTTGTATTTTGGGGGACCCACTCTGCAGGTTTTGGGGGGATTTCAGGGACCCCCCCCTCGGTGGGTGTTGGGAAAAAGGGGGGCTTTGGGATTTTGAGGTGCTCAGGGGTATTTGTGGGGTGCTCAGGGGATGTTTCTGGGGGTGTGGGGGGTATTTTTGGGGGTCCCTCTGAGTCCAGGGGTGTTTCTGGGGTGTTTCTGGGGTGCTGGGGGGTGTTTGGGGTGCCCCTGAGTCCAGGGGGTATTTGTGGGGTGCTCAGGGGGTATTTCTGGGGTCCTGGAGGGTATTTTTGGGGTCCCTCTGAGTCCAGGGGATGTTTCTGGGGTGCTGGGGGGTATTTCTGGGGTGCTGGGGGATGTTTTTGGGGTGCCCCTGAGTTCAGGGAGTATTTGTGGGTTGCTCAGGGGTATTTCTGGGGTGCTGGGGGGTATTTTTGGGGTCCCTCTGAGTCCAGAGGATGTTTTTGGGGTGCTCAGGGGTATTTTTGGGTTGCTCAGGGGTATTTTTGGGGTCCTGGGGGATGTTTTTGGGGTGCCTGGGGTTATTTTTGGGGTCCTGGGGGGTATTTTTGGGGTCCAGAGGTATTTTTGGGGTGCCTGGGGGTATTTTTGGGGTGCTGGGTGTTATTTTTGGGGGTCCCTCTGAGTCCAGGGGATATTTCTGGGGCGCTCAGGGGTATTTTTGGGGTGCTGGGGGGTATTTCCGGGGTCCTGTGGGATGTTTTTGGGGTGCTGGGTGGTGTTTCTGGGTTGCTCAAGGGATGTTTTTGGCGTGCTGGGGGTTATTTTTGGGATCCCTCTGAGTCCAGGGGATGTTTCTGGGGTCGTGGGGGGTATTTGTGGGGTGCTGGTGGTTGTTTTTGGGGTGCTCAGGGGATATTTCTGGGTTGCTCAGGGGATGTTTTTGGGGTGCTGGGTGTTATTTTTGGGGGACCCTCTGAGTCCAGGGGATCTTTTTGGGGTGCTGGGGGGTGTTTCTGGGGTGTCCCTGAGCTCAGGGGGTGTTTCTGGGGTGCTCAGGGGATGTTTCTGGGGTGCTCAGGGGGTATTTCTGGGGTGCTGGGGGTTATTTTTGGGGGTCCCTCTGAGTCCAGGGGGTGTTTCCGGTGTGCTGGGGGGTATTTCTGGGGTCCCTCTGGATCCAGGGGGTGTTTTTGGGGTGCTGGGGGGTGTTTTTGGGGTGCTGGGGGGTGTTTCTGGGGTGTCCCTGAGCTCAGGGGGTGTTTCTGGGGTGCTCAGTGGATGTTTCTGGTTTGCTCAGGGGATGTTTCCGGGGTGCTCAGGGGGTATTTCCTGGGTGCTGGGGGTATTTCTGGGGTCCTGGGGGATGTTTTTGGGGTGTTGGGGGTATTTCTGGGTTGCTCAGGGATGTTTCTGGGGTGCTGGGGGGTGTTTTTGGGGTGCTGGGGGGTATTTTTGGGGGTCCCTCTGAGTCCAGGGGGTATTTCTGGGGTGCTCAGGGGATATTTCTGGGTTGCTCAGAGGTGTTTCTGGGGTGCTGGGGGGTATTTCTGGGGGTCCCTCTGAGTCCAGGGGGTATTTGTGGGGTGCTGGGGGGTGTTTCTGGGGTGCTCAGGGGTGTTTTTGGGTTGCTCAGGGGATATTTCTGGGTTGCTCAGGGGTATTTTTGGGGTGCTCAGGGGATATTTCTGGGGTGCTCAGGGGGTATTTCTGGGGTGCTCAGGGGTATTTCCAGGGTCCAGGGGTATTTTTGGGGTGCTGGGGGTTATTTCTGGGGGTCCCTCTGAGTCCTGGGGGTGTTTTTGGGGTGCTGGGGGTTATTTTTGAGGTGTCCCTGAGCTCAGGGGGTATTTCTGGGTTGCTCAGGGGTATTTCTGGGTTGCTCAGGGGGTATTTCCGGGGTGCTGGGGGGTATTTTTGGGTTCCTCAGGGGATATTTCTGGGTTGCTCAGGGGATGTTTTTGGGGTACCTGGGGGTATTTCTGGGGTCCAGGGGATGTTTTTGGGGTACCTGGGGTTATTTTTGGGGTGCCCCCACTCACCTGAGCGAGGTAGAGGCGCGCCCTGTGCAGGTGTATTTTTGGGGTCCTGGGGGGTATTTTTGGGGTACCTGGGGATATTTTTGGGGTCCTGGGGGGTGGTTTTGGGGTACCTGGGGTTATTTTTGGGGTTCCCCCACGCACCTGAGCGAGGTAGAGGCGCACCCTGTGCAGGTGTATTTTTGGGGTGCTGGGGGTATTTTTGGGGTACCTGGGGATATTTTTGGGGTACCTGGGGATATTTTTGGGGTACCTGGGGTTATTTTTGGGGTGCTGGGGTTATTTTTGGGGTTCCCCCACTCACCTGAGCGAGGTAGAGGCGCGCCCTGTGCAGGTGCATTTTTGGGGTGCTGGGGGGTATTTCCGGGGTGCTGGGGATGTTTTTGGGGTACCTGGGGTTATTTTTGGGGTGCTGGGGTTATTTTTGGGGTGCTGGGGTTATTTTTGGGGTGCTGGGGGTATTTCCGGGGTGCTGGGGGTATTTCTGGGGGTACCTGGGGTTATTTTTAGGGTGCCCCACTCACCTGAGCGAGGCAGAGGCGCGCCCGTGCAGGTGTGTCTTTGGGGTACCTGGGGGTACTTCTGGGTGCTGGGGATGTTTTTGTACAGAGATTTTTAAAGCAATAACCTAATAGCTAATACAAATATATATATATATATTTGTGTGTGTATATATATATATATTTTCCAG